CTGTGTGTGTGTAAGCAAATCTAATCAGGGTGCTGCATATGCATTGCATCTGTGTGTCTGTGTGCACTTCTGCTCTACCCTTATGTGGCATCTGTGTGTGTTAGTACAGTGAGCACTGAGCTACATATGCTCCACTCTAGGTCAAGTGACCAGGAGGGAGGAGGACTTAGAATGGAGTAGTCAGCAGCATTCCAAACTAATACGCAACCGTTTCTTTGATAGGGTGGCACTGGGAATTTTTTTCTTCTCAAATGTTTTTCTCCACAGCTCCCTGCCAGATCCAGCTCATTTTCCACGCTGGTCTTTCTTTTGTCAACTTCTTATGCCATGCCAAATCCATTCTATTTCCAGAGTTATCCTGCTGACAGAGAGACAGATAGGTGGACAGAGTCCTGAGCCTCTTCACATTATTTCTTTCCAACATTACATTGGGTTGAAAAGAATAAAATGACATTTATACAAGGCAAAAACTAGAAAACAAAGTCAAAGTCAAATATATTGACTTTCATATTATTAAAGCCTTACCACATATCTAAGATTTAAATTTTCTATTTTGCCGTAACAAACATCCAAAAGGGTTATCGGTTGGACAGCAAGATTCCCTCCAAACGTCCAAGGCAATGCAAGTTTTGACAGATCAGAAACCTGAAAGAAACATGTAGTAGGATATTTTAAAACAATTATGTAGAGCTAAATTCAGCCAGTCTAAATCATCTCACTGGTCTGAGATGGGTGGCTATATAAATTGAAGAAATAAATAAAAAATAAATAAATCTCAGTTTGTAAATATATACAGGCTCTAAGAAAGTTCCCTTCTTTTAATGATAAAAATGCTTTACTTCATTAATGTCAATGATAAAATTCTTGAAAGTTAAGTTTGAATCTAGGTTCTTTAATCAAAGCATCAGAAGCAATTATTCTAACATAAGTTTATCAATTAACCATTTTTTATCTAACTTCTTATTGACTTATCTTTTTTCAAGACAATCAACAAATTCCTAGCAGACTCACATAAAATTTTGAAGACTTCATATTTTTTCTATTCTACTAATACTTATATTTTATAGACAGCTTTATTCTTTAGTTGTACAAAGTATTAAATGAATATAAAAGGTAAAGACTCCCTTGGTCATGTTCAGTTCCTATTGACTACATGGACACATCCATATTGTTTTCTTGTCAACAAAACAATAGTGGTTTACCAGTAACTTCCAGCCCTCTTCCTATGATTTACTATGTCATTCTTAACGTAATAAATAGAATATTATTGTTCAGTACTTAGACAGAACCAAAAAAGGCAAGAACATATATTCAAATTATTTCTGTACACCAGAGCATGGGTCCACATTGTATGCAGTTGCCTGCCAATTCATTTTGCACTACTGTTGATCACTGATCCCCCATTCTTATAGTAGCACAATTATTTAGAATTTTAAAATGTGTCAAAGCAGCTATAATGCTGCAATTTTTTTTCTTTAAGAACAGCTACTATACATAATTCAAAACTGTAAGTATTCAAATGCATAAGAGAGACAGAGAGATTTCCAGAAGATGGAAATGTTGAATGCTAGACCTTTCATTGTGATGATGGCTGCCAATGCACAAAGACTTACTAATGATGATGGCACCAAGGCAATTTGAACATCTAATTCTTACACCTGAACCCCTTCTCTAATCTGCTGTTCACTGCTTGAATAAGGAACACCATCTGCAACTGTGTATTTCTTAACATGTAGCAAATTAGTTTTGAATGAACAGATCTAGTATAGGAATCATAGCACTACTGCAGTATTGATGAGAAGTCAGTCCATTCATATTAGTCACTCTTGTTCACCATCCTAACAATACAAATAGAGTTGAAAATGAAGCCTGCTGACATATCAGTTGCCATCTTATCCTTTCCAGGAGCCTTAAAGGAAATGTTTCTTGATTGTTTGCTTTAAAAGCATGTCTAGCTTGGTTTTCAGAGCACAATATTCACTAGTTTTCTGGAACAGATCTTACACTGAGTTATACTGCCCTCTGTAGCCATAACTTTGGCATCTGAAACGAGCTATTTAGCTTCTTTTTAAACCCATAACAAATGTATTAGCCTTTAAGGAACCACAAGATTCTTTGCTACAACAGATTAACTCTCTGGAAGATAGTTTATTTAAGGATTTATATATATGCAGTAGCAGCCAGAAAAGACCATAATACTCAGGTATACTAGCAGATTGGTCAACACGCCAAGAATTCAAAAGTGGAAAGAACAAAGGCCAGTTACAATGTTAAAATGACAAGAGATTAAACGTAAAAAAATTATGGCAGCACAAATGCACCATATTTTATGAACTATTCATTAGTGATCCATATATATATTAATTTACATTCTAGATTATATTTGGCCTATAAACTATACTAAATCCTTCCAAAGTAAACAACTGGCCTCTTGAAAATTCCCCACCTCCTACTATTGTTTTTTGCTTAAATGACATTACCAGGAACACAAAAATCATGTTTTAAATGCAGACACAGAGAGATACCAGCAGCTGAATTATCTAATGTAGGGCACCAAAAGGAGAATACCTTAATTCTCCCCCATCTGATTCGAGATACCTTATCTCATCCATTCCCAATTCTTGTACCTAGCCCCCTCCCCTCCCCAATGTCCCAAGAGGACTTATGTTCCATTACAGCTAATGCAAACAAAAACCAGTGAAAATTGGATTTCATTCCTTAGGAGCAGGTTACAGGGTCTTGTTTGTAACCTTCAATTGGGCAAAATGGTGCGGAGGGAGGGAGGGAGGGAGGGAGGGAGGGAGATTTCTGATGCTCCCTGCCAGCTTCCCACAAGCAAAGTCAGTGGGGAAGCTGGCAGCAAGTTATAAGTTGCTCACACTCCTACTACTTTTTTGTCCTTGATCATTCTGCTTCTCTGTTTAGGTAAGGAAATATTGCTGAAATGATGACTCAACTGGTAACTGGTTATCTAGTATCCAATATTAATCCCTTGGATTTGTTGCTTGTTTATTGGATTCCTGGTCCCAATCTCTACCAAGCCCGTAACTATGTTTAAGTTGCCATCTTAAGATATTGGTAAAAATTACTCTTTTCTTCTAATAATTCACATATCACTGGTTGTGGCAGGCATCCATCTTGCTATGTTGCTGGCTGGCAGAAAGTAGGGCTAGCACAGAAAAATGGCTCTTGATCTTTGACATTATCACTAGTGTCTACGTTGGCAGATGTTCTATAGCTTGGCTAGGGTTTTCACTTTGAGCAGAGGTGTCCATACAGAGTTAATGAAAATATGTTTCCAGGGTCCCTGAAGGGATATGACAATGCACCATAGACAAAGCATTGATATGACAGCTTTATGTCACAGCTTTGGCATAGGTTTATGAACTGATAAGATATACAGTACAGTAATTGGACATTTCTCACAGCATGAACAAACATCTGCATTCTTACAAAGTATGAAAATATTTAACCTTCTGAAAAAGCTACAAAGTTATCTGCAGTTAATATGTATAACTTCACAATGTATTCTTCTAGTCTTGTTTGTAACCTTTTAATCACTGGAGAAAAGTCAAGATGGCAGCCATGACTGCATGGATGAAGACCTGACTTTTTACATGTATGCATGTGTTGCACGTATATAAAAAAGGGTTGGGGGTTTGATCACACAGACACAACCACCATCTTGACTTTTTTGACATACCTCATGGATGCCACAGATCCTATATTTGAAAAGAATTTTTCATATAAATAGATTCCTCATGCTATCAAAACTCACTTGTTGGTGTCTCTGCAGTTTGAATCTCATTGTCTGACACATCTCAATTATTTGAAGAAGTTCTAGATGTGGCATGATTACTTTCGATGCAGTTCCTTCGGGGCTACGGAAAGAGCTATAAACAATTGTAATGCATTAGAACTGTTACAGCAGCTTAATTCATTTTCATTTAATATTTTTCATAGTTATGTAGCATGTATCTGTACTCTTTTAAAATTTCAAAGATCAAATACGATATAGTTAAGTTTTTATTATAAAGTTGATTTTGCAACAACGAAGTTATTCACTAAAAAACAGTTCAAAGTTCCAGCCAGAGAAAAACCAACACAGGTACAGAGTATGAAAACATATCTGAAAACACACAATTTAAATTCCTCTTTGATTCACATTAATAAATAGAAATGAGTATGTTCCTTTTAAAATAATAGGCATGTTTTCCGATCATGTAGTGCAAAATATACTAACCAGCTGTAAAGGAATTTAACGGTGACTTTGGGAAAGATATGAAGCAGCCATTAAGGAGGGAATTGGACAAGAGATTACACAGTCCAGTAATTGAAGGAAGTGTGAGAAAGGGCCTCAAATTAACCCCACCTTGATTTTTTTAGCAGTAAAATGGAACAGAGAGAAACTTGGACAGGCTTTCAATATTCTGTTACTATATCCTACAACAATGAAGTAGCATTCTTGGAATTCTGCACTGTCTGTTTCTTGACCTGGCCTCCTTCAAAGGGCTGACACTAGCAATAATAGACTTCAGTGTCTGAAGAGTTTAACTATGGAAGTGGAGAGAACTTCCACACAAATACAATGGGGTTACTAATTTTCATTCTATAACCCAATACAAATTATCTTGGAGGGGTCCAATGTTAAAGACATCTTTTCAGGAAATGAGAACTTATGAAATTTCAATTCACAAACATGCTTTCATAGACAGTGATCTATACTAGTCAACCCAGAGCTAAATCACTGCATCCCAGAAAGATTACCATTTTTCCCAAAACTCATGTCAAACCAAAGTGAGTTTGAAAATAAAGTTACTCAGCAGGAAGCAGGTCTGTGAATATTATTTATTTTATAACGCAATTCACTGTGCCACACCACAGCCTGTAACTGAATTCTTCTCTTTTCCTTTCTCTTTTCCATTTACTTTTTTGAAACACTTTCTTATGTAACAAGAGCAAAGAGCATCTTATGAAGTATCTTCTTTCATATAAGCCTATCCATTTCTTTTGACTGCCAGGTAATGCCATGTTGAACACTCCCATTCCTTTCTGGAGTGTGGATATATGTCTGCACCCACAGTCAATCAGATAAACTGATTATATATATATATATACACACACACACACACCTACACACACACACATACTGTTAGATATATAGATATAGATATATAAAACAGAACAGAGGCAAGAAGGGTTTTTCTAACTCTACAATTTTATGCTTCTATAAACCAAATATGTAAAGCCCCATAAATGTTTTTCTGAGTCAAAATTAATGGTTGTGTTCACATGCTGCCTGAGCCATAGCTATTGTTTATTAAGGCCAAAGCTAACCAATAGCTTATGCAACATGAATCCAACCAATGAATTTTAAAGTTCTTCAGAATAAGGTAAATGTCAGGTACACGTCTGATGGGAACATTCTAAGGCTAGATTCTGTTTCTTCTTAGATAAAAGGATAAGAATAACAACAACAACAACAGCCTACTAAAAGGATAATAATGAACAAAAGGGTTCACAAGGTGAACATGTACTATCAATTGCAAAAAATGCAAATGCAATCTTAGGCTCCATCAGCAGCAATATAGTGTCAAGATCAAGAGAAATCAATCCTCTCTCCTGTATTCATCAAATCACACTTTGTATCCATTACTGAGCATTATATTTTAGAAAGGACATGTAGCATGTTAGAGGGGAACAACCTAGATGATAAGGGTTCTAGAAGGAAAAACTTAGGAGGCATTGGGCATGTTGGGAAGAAGAGAAGAGAAACAGAAGTTAAGCTCTCATTCCCCACACAAAACACAAATCTTGTTCATGGAACCAGTGCCTAAAGCCAGCCTGCACAGAACTATTTGCATGATCTTGGTATCCTACCTTGTTTCCTGCAAATCCATGCTTAATTTAATAACTACTAAAACCTGAAAAATTGTTTAGGAAAGTCTTTTTACATCTTGACATTAGAAGTGGGCAATCAACTGTTGTGCATGGCTTCATTCCTGTTTGCAATAAAAATTCTAATCTAGCTGAGCCATGTCTGAAAGTTTTTAGCCAAGTCAAGCCAGGGGTCAAGCTTGGCTGTGTAATGTTAGTGAATCTATGATTTATTGCTAAGCCCTGATTTGGTAAGCTAACAGCTGGGAGGAGGAAAAACACATATCAGCAAAATACTGAATAAATGATTAATAGATTCCATTAGTCCTTTCTGTTTTAAGACACAACATAAAATATATGGACCTCTGTAATAAGATGTTACCTACTGTGTTGTTTTCTATTTACCAAGATAAATATGCATGTCTACTTCTTTAAAAGAGGACTGTCCCCTTCTTTTAAAGTTCCCTACACATTAGGCTATGTAACCTTTATCAAGGTGAGCACCGTCATATCTATTTCATTTCAAATAGTGGAGGTAAAGTGTCTTTCCATTGCTTACCTAACCTTGTCAGTAAGAGCTTCTAAAGATGTGCTTAACTCTAACATAAGAACAGCTTGGGAATTTAATCCTTCTGTAAGCAGTACCACCTGAAAGGAAAAAAAACATACAGAGAATCACTCTTAAAAGCATCTCTGCTTTCTTCTCTCTGAGCAATTTTTTTTTTTCTGTAAGAAACTGAAAAGAACATTCTGTCATGACACCTCAAAATAGAAGAAAAACACGAGGTTTAAATGGGCACAGTGCTGCATCAGCCATGCAATCACAAGAATCTTGGGCTCTGGATCTTTCCAAATGTCCAGACTTTACTTGCCCCAATTCCCCAGCTAGCATGGCCATTGCTGACATGGTGGGCATTTTTAAAATTATGGTGAAACTTGGCACAGCCACAGGTGCACACAGTGTGCACATACACCAAAGCTCAAATCAACAAAGACAACACTGCACTAGTAGCTTTTGCATTTATACAATCTCAATAACTTTAACAATGCTTTTGTGTGTTTAACACAGTAGTACATACATACAGTACATACCTCTGCAATACCTGCCTGCAAAATAAAGCACAGCTCAATATATACAATCCATTCATCTACCCATGTGAACTCTAATTTCTCCATAGGAACTTTTAAAAAAGTAACAGTTTTTTATAGTTTTCAATATAGCTAAAAGCAGTCTTCTGTTTTATCATGTGTTTAACTGCTTTGCTCCCCTCAATGCTTTACTCCCACCTCACCCCATTCAGTGTAAGCTAATAGCAGCAAGGACCCAACATATCCCTGCTGTTGTATGGTTAGGCTGGAAAAAATTGGGGGGGGGGAAGAGATATAAAACAGCCCAGCTGCAGCACTTAGAAGACCTAGAACACAAAATTAAGTTTTTTCTCCTAGGTCAGAATACAGAATGTATGTTTTGTTCTGAGCTTAAAATTCTCCAAACACCCATTCCAAGGTCAGAGTATCCTGAGATTAAAACATTTTGCCTAGCTCTATTTAGATAATCCAAAACACAATTTTAGAAAAGTGCTTTTTAGATCCTCATATATTGGCAGCTTTCAAATCTTTTATATAAAATTAAATGCAGGTGTTTCACAAAGGTATACGATATTACCTGCCTTTCCAGCTGTAGTGCTTGAGCTTTTAAAAAACTGACCCGTCTTTCATCAAAGCATTTGTTCTTTCCTTCTTCTATGAGCTGTTCATATTGGCTTCTAAAATATAAAATATCTTTCTCAAAATAATTTCAAAGGTCACATAAAGCTCTATTGATCTTTAATACTGTAACTACAATTTATGGATCTATTTTAATGGATTTGTTAAAAGTGATGTAAAAAGTGGAACACATGTTTATTATTGGGTCTCCTTTGAGCTGATCACTCAAAAATCCTATTTTTTTCGGAAAACTGTCTATATTTTATTGTACTAAAAATAAGCTATTGTCTCCTAGACTTTCTTGAAGAAGCTGTTAGTATCATACCATTTCCTAGCAGAAAAAAACCTCCCTATCTTTCTAGGGAGCTACCATATGGAACATAAGTTGAAGGTTCAAGATTTTATGGGCTTGTTCTAGAACTGGAGAACTGAATTTCTAACACTGGGTGTTAGAATTTCTCCAGACAGGAATGCCAATTACATCAACAATCAACTGATTTTTTTAGTATCAATTCTGAGAATTGCTAGACATGACATTTATTCAGATGTGGGAAAGACAGGAAAAAACAGCACCAGACTGAATTGCAGTGGTTATTAAGAATGGACTGCATCCCCATGTTGACAGAGCAATTGCCCTCTTTAAATAGTTTGATTCTTTTTTTTTTTTTTTTTTTTTTTTTTTTTTTTTTTTTTTT